ATGATAATGCCTAGCAAATAGTAAGTTTATCATCATTATTATCTTGTGTTACAGTTTAAGTTCATTTTCAGTTTGTTTATATAGAATCTAGTGAAAATCAATTAATACCTTCAGTATAATAGGCTTGCAGGATTTATTCTTAGCCTGTATGATGTTGTTATTGTTCTTTAATATTACTTTTACTTGCATTTACCAGCATTAAAAATGATGTATATTGTAGTCAAATTAAAAAAGTGATGAATCCCAGGTTTTATTTTTTATGTATATATGTTTCAAATTAAGCCTAAGCAGAAATTCTTTTATTTCCTATTTCTTTCTTTATTCTCCTGATGTGTTTTTGTGCAAATATTGAAGATACTGTTTGTTTTCTTTTGTTTGTTTCTCTTTGGGGGGTATGAGTCCTAATATTTTTGAGCTCCCCTATTTTCAACTTCTCTTCTTCTTTATTGGGTCTGGAAATAAAACTCTACCCTAAAAATCAATAATCCTAAGAGGTTCTGCAATAGATAAGGCAATATTTAGTTTTAATTGATATATTTATTTAGGATACATATGCTGTAACCTTGAGATATGTATTTAAAGACTTAACTATAGAAAAATGAGAGATCAGCTTCCATTTTTATGCTTGGAGTTAAAAGCAGAGGAGCTCTCAGAGTGGACTGCTGCCATAATCAGGTTATACCATGTTCTCATCACTCAGAAAAACTCTCTCCTGCTCCATTCCACCCCTAAACACATGGGCTGCACAGCTGCTCTATGGCTGTGTGCTGTCCCATGTGTATTAGGCCCACACAGCCTGCAAAGAGGTTGCATTTTGGAGCATGGTAGTAGCATGGCTGGCTGGAGACCCCAGAAGTGTAGCTGCCAGAATCCTGCCATCTGGCAATGTGGCTGCCTAGGTTCTTCAGCTCAGGGCATGCGTGTATTTTTGCTGAGCCCTTTTTCTGTTGCCACAGCTATGAAGGCAGAGATATGGATGGATGGTCATGGAGCTAGCAGGGAGATGTTTAATTAGAAACACTAGTGTTCAAGGTGAGAGAACATGCAATAAAGTGTGAAAAATGCATTTGAACTTTCACAATAGATGCAAGAAGCTTAACAACATCTTTTAACTTTTATGAAGACCTTTAAATTAAAGAACTGAAGATATGGTATAGACTAGCTATTTTAAAACTCTCACCATTTTAAACATGGCAGAAGGTTATACAAAAGCACACATTTTGTTTTTAAAGAAAAATAATCATGATTGTCCTCAGTTAATGAAAGTTTATTTTCATTTCATTAAAGATTCTCTGAATATTGAATATAATTTAACAGTCCACGGAAAAGAAAAAGTATTATGTAGTTTGCATGTGTGCATATCTGCATATTAGAGCACAAAATATTGACATGATAATTGCAGTCAAGCCTGAGTGAACAGTGGCCTGTGGGAATTCAGCTGGTGTTGTACCAACTGGATGGCTGCTTAGGACACAGTACAAAATGCAAGGTGCAAGTTAGCACTTTATTCAGCACAGGCAGGCATCATTTAAAAGTCCTTGGGGGCAGCCCTGGTGATGTGCAGATGTTAAAACAGCCTGTTCTGAAGCGCTGATATTTCTGAACATTGTAAGAGACTTCTAGGTCTGAGTGAGGAATATTTGCACAATTATTAAAGTCATATAATAAATAATCTTGTCTCCTTTCTTCACAAATGCTGTACGTAATGAGTTGAGTATGCAGAAATACCTGGACATTTAGGTAATAGAGAAGTATAGGAAAGTCAAGAAACACCCATTTAATTTATAATTACAAAACAAAATGTTGTAAGCTTCAATTTTAGAAATGACTTTAGTAGATGAGAGTATTTGCTATATTATTTAGTAATATTTTAAATGTAAAGTTTTGTTCATTTAAATATAAAGCAAGTTATTATTTACTTAAATATTCATCAATTATTTTTAATATCATTGAAAGAACCAGGTATTTTAGACTGATTTTATTTTGTTTTCTACTCTGGACCAACTAGACTGAGCATAGAAAACAAATCAGTTTTTTTTTCATGTGTGAAGCTTATTTTTACAGTCCAAGTTCTGGCTTTCAGACATAAATTTAGACATTAATTTTTAAAACACAAATGTTCTAAAATTTGGTTGTTTAATAAAATATTATATATAAAAGCTAAACAAGTATTAATTAAATGTAACTTTCTACAACATATTATAAGAGGCATCTTGTTTGTATTAGGGCATTTTTATTTGCCAGTGATTTTTGTTGTGGGATAGAACCTGTGTGTAAGATGTTTTACAACTACTTTTTAGTGTTTCTTAGTAGCTCATTCATACATGTCACATCAGCAACTCGTTCTGCATGTCCAAGTCCTGCAAAGCTGAGCATCCATGGCTGAGAGGATCAAGAGTTTGGTAGCAGTTTAAGTCTCATTTCCCTAAACTTCCCTCTTTATCAGTCTTACTGTTTTGGAATTTCAGCATTACTAGAAATTTTGAAAATGAAAAACAATACTACATGTAAAATGTATATTTAAGAGATGCTACATTCAGAAGAGAGAAAACAGTTCAGGTAGCTGTATTTTGTTCTTTATTATTATGTATCTGTTAATTAAGTACAATCAACCTCAGTAACTTTTGCTTTTTAATTTTCTTTGTTTCCTAATTCGTACCAATATCATTATCTCATTTACAGTTAAATGTTTCTTTTAGACTCTAATATTTCATTTTGACATCTCATTAAAAATGGGCTCAAGCCCAGAAAATATGATCCTGTCATATTATATAATATATGGCATGGTCTATAAAACAGTAAAATTTGTTTCTTAATGATTTAGAATAATTTCTCAATTTTTCTAGAGTAGAAAAATGGCAGCAGGTTAGCATGGTAGTCCGTGTGGCTGAATGCAGCAGTGGCGAGTGTTTCCGTGGGCGGTGCTCTTGGGAGAGGTGCTTGGAGCTTTACGCTTGCACATGTCTGACAGGCTTTCCTCACTCCATTTTTCATCCTAGAGAAGTCTGCAGATATTCTTAGCTCGCATCGTTATTGCACATCAGTGGTTCTAATTAGCTAAACAGGAGTCTGTCTCTGTCGTTGATCATCATCAACTCCTTGACAGTGGTTTCTTTCCTTTCGGATCCTTTTAAAATGTCTTGTACATATGTAGACTGTGTAGTAATTGAATTATCTGCATAAGTTGATCACCCTATAAACAATCTTGTTTAGACTATAATTTCTATGTAACAGGTACTGTGCACATATTGCAGAGTTGCTCTGCTGGGAACACTTTATTGTATTGGAAACAATATCCTGTGCCACAAGAAAAGTTCTTGGACTAATTTCCATTAATATCTTGAGTTATCATTTTCTTTCATTTCAAAATTATAGTAAATTTTAGATTTTTTATTAAAATATATCACCAAAGTATAACTTTGAAGTTTACACTTTGTGCCATATATTTAATTTATTATTTATAATTGTATTATATTACCTGGTCTTTTTATAGCCATGTAGATGATTGTCATTGAAGTAGAATTTAGTATGTATCAGAACCACTTGAAATCTTGTGCCTTATAGTCTAGCTATAACAAAATACCACAGACTCATGTGGTTCAAACAGACAAAAACAATGTTATTTCTTACTGTTCTCAAGTTAGCAGATCCAAACATATGGTTCAAACAAGGAATGCTGCCTTTCTCAGTGGCAACCTTTTTGTATGCTCATAAGGTTGGGAGGAGAGATCATGACTTTAGTGTCTTTCTTACAGCTGTTATGATAATGACATATATGTGACACATATGTCATATGACATACATATATATATATGTATGTGTATAAATATGTATATATATATATGCACCTAATTACCTAATTTCATAAAAAGTGTACTACTAGAATTAAAGATACACGTTAACACCAAACCAAACGGTGATTGCAACTCCTCACTTTCTCCAATACACGTGTCATCTGGACAAATTATAAACAGAGAAACTTCAAAATTAAATGCCAACTGACATCACATGTACCTATCTCATCTACAAAATATTGTACCAAACACCTAAGACTACACATTCTCCTCAGAAGCCTTGAAACATCCCACATGTTGTTGGCTGTGGCATTTCTTATCCCTGTGTCAATTCCTCTGCTGCAGTGCTAATAATAGTGATTTGATACATGATAAATTAGTGTGTTAGACATGGATTTCTTTCTTTTTTATGTTTTTTAAAAATTATTCTGTTAAGTATTCCTTCATCTATGAGACCTAGTTAATTATAAAACATTCTCAGCCATTTTTTCTTGAAAATGCTGCTCCTTCATTCCAGGGTTGCAACTTCTGTAATGTTAGGAATAGGTTAGAGTTTCCCCAATAAAACAAAATTCTTTGTTTTGACTGATTTATATTTTTAATGTCATCATTTTCTCTGTAACATCGTGGGTGGGTACCTCATTAATATTGTTCAGATTACTGATTTATTTTGTTTCTAGTTTTTCAAGAATTTAATAAATGAGTAAAACTGATCTTATAACATAAATATGTTATACATATTAAAGATAAAAATATGGAGTTGTCTTCCCCAGTATTGAATACTACCTGCTACAGTCCCCACCTGCTGATAAGATGTGTCCACTAGGTAGCATCAAGATTCAATTATGTTTTACACATTGGTTATCATCTATCTACATGTAGAAATTAAACTGTTTCTAGAAAATGAAATTGTCACAGTTGTCAGCAGTGCTAAGTTGATGTCACTTGCCATATGGTTTCTGATTAATTCTGAGTGAGCTGTTGACACAAGATAATTTAATTATTTATACTTTAAAACTATGTTTATTTGTAGGATGTGGAAATTTAAAGGAGCGGCTATGGCTGGGACAGTGGTAGAGCACTTACTTGGCATGGATGAGCGCCTGGGTTTGATCCTTAGCACCAGGAAATGAACAGCAACACAACAACAGCAATGATTGAATACCTAGAAACGATGACAATTAACTGTGTTTCTTTTGTTTCTAGAGAAAAACAGAAATCTGAAGCCAAAGACAGAAAAGTTCTGGAAATCTTACAAGTCAAAGATGCTAAAATACAAGAATTGGAGCAGGTTGTATTCTGATAAGAATGCTGTGTGAAAGCACTGTTCTGAAATGCCTGTAGCCAATCTTTTACTATTATACCATGTTGTTCCCTACTATTTGTCTTCTAAAGCGATCGGATCTACAACTTGTTCAAGTGCTTAACAAGCTGTTATTTTAAAATAGTATTAATTATTCATTGTTTTATTATATTTTTGCTACATTATTAGTCATGTGTTTCTGATATATACATTTTTACATGGTTTTGGTTATAGAAAATCTCAAGATAATTGGTACTATTATATTTTATCTTTTGAAAATTTGCATTATTAAATTGATACAGACCTTTTATATATAACTTAAATCACACAATTAAAATTTACATATAGTTTGCATGTACTTGTATAATCAGAATATTATTACCACAACAATATATATGCTCTCCCTACACACATTGTTCAGGGCTCCGAGCTCAAAATCTCTTCTGAGAGAGACTCAGTTTATACACTTATCATTAGCACCTGTAAAAAAATAATAAAAAAAAAATTGAAAGAAAAGAATTATAGACTTTTAGTATACAGTAGCACAGACTAAGCATTCCCATTCCAAAATGCAGGGATCGAGTATAGAAAGGAGGGATGTGACTACAGTAATACAAAAATCAGTAGGAAAACAGTAAGTCCTGGAGCTCCGTTCTTGCCATATGGGGCACATGATGGTATGACCTGGGCCCCAAAGGTCTTGGGCAATCCTGTCAACCTCTAGATCCTTGCCATTGGCAGCCCACATGGGCTTTCTGTGTGTAGCTTTCCCGGGGTAGATAGTATGTATTTCTGGCACCTAAACCTTCTTAAGGTCTACACTGAGTTTTTGGTTTTATTCTCAGATTCATGCACTTTCCAGGCTCTTTGGAGGGTATCTTAGTTGCTGTCTGAACAGACACCATGACCAAGACAACTCTTATAAAGTACAACATTTAGTTGGGGCTGGCTTACTGGTTCTAATGTTCAGTCCATTATCATCCTTGCATGAAGCATAGTAGCCTCTAGGCCAGCATGGCACTGGAGGAGCTGAGAATTCTACACCTTGTTCAGAAGGCAAACATGAGAAGCCTGGCATCCTCAGGCAGCTGGAAGGAAGCTTTCAAAGCTCATCCCCACAGCGACACACTTCCTTCACCAAGGGCACACCAATTCCAGCAAGAACACACATCCTAATAGTATCATTCCATGGGCCAAGCATCCAAACACAGGAGTTAATGGGGGGGCAAACCTATTCAGTCCACTACAGGGGGATAGTGGCATTGTTATGCAAAGGTTGGCTTCTTAGCCCTTCCTTTAAAATCTGAGGAAGAACCTGTATGACTCCATGATTCTTGGATTCTATATATGTGCAAAACAATATTGTGAACAATGTTAGACATGTCTCTCGAGCTTAAGCAATAGTTGTGATTTCTTGCATCATGGATGTAGCAGCCCCTGAATCCTAAATGATTGTAACGCAGGGAAACTGTTCCTGCAGTGGTCCTGTCCAAGCAGATGGCGACACAGTTCTTATCCTAAATCTATGTGGTTTAAATGAGTTAAAACCTTTGCAACCTCATCCTGCATTTGGTGGAGCTGAAATATTCCTGGGATGCTGCCCATCTTTCTTCTTGTCCAGTAAAGGATAAAGCCCTGAAAGTGAAGGAGCCCTGTTGTCTTTGGTCTGTATCCACAGGTTCCTTGGCCCCATTTTTCACCATGCTCATTTTGTGGGCCAACTGTAATTCTTCAAATCCTTGTGCTCTCAGTTCTTTCTGTAGGCCTGAATATGAGCAATAGCAATAACCATGCTGCCACCCGTATGCTGGGCGGCTTTGAAACTTCCTTCACCAGATTATTTAGTCTGCCACTTTAAACACATCTTTTCACAAAACTTCAGGACACAAACTACAGACAAACTAAACTCTCTATGAGAATACAACACAGATACCCTCTGTTCAAATTCCAATTTGAGCCCTTGTTTCCATGACACCTCATGAGCATTGTCTTTCTTAGTTTAGCATTCTGATCTGAGTTCTTGCCCAAACTGCTTACAACATTGTAGGTTTTCTGTGGTCTTGTTGTATGACAAGATTTTTCCTAGGAAGTCACAACAGCACGTGTCTACTCACCTCAGATAGGCAGCCCATCACAGACCAAAATATGGACAGCACCAAAGTGCATGTTGGTCACCAATGAGCCTTATCAGGGTTACTTAGAAGAATATAGGCAAAGGATTACTTACAGGAGCAGAAATGACTCAAGCTGCAGCACCAAAACTCATCCCAGCATAAGTGATAGTGCACAAAAGCTAGACACTGGAAAACATTGCACATTGTGCAGGCAGCGCAGTAGAAATTAGTGTTCTTTTCAGGTGGCTCAGTTGGTCTGAGCCTCTTTTAGTCAGCCTGGCTGATATTTCCACTTCTCCCAGGCTGCTCTGTTGATCTCTGCTTCTTCTTTGCAGCCTGGCTTGTCTGAGAGTCTTCTCTGAAACTTGGCTTTTTAAAGATCGACATTGCAGAGTTACTCCGAGCTGTTTATCTTCTGTCTTTAGGAGCTGTCCTATAGGATAGAGTGATTTAATGTAGGAAGGAACTTTTATAGGAAAGTCTACATCTCTAATCTGTCTTCTAAGTACAGCGTGTAAGTTTCTTTTCTTTTTGTCTTTGTTTTTGTTTTTTGTTTTTTTGAGACAGGGTTTCTCTGTGTAGCCCTGGCTGTCCCGGAACTCACTCTGTAGACCAGGCTGCCCTCAAATGCAGAAACCTGCCTGCCTCTGCCTCCCAAGTGCTGGGATTAAAGGCATGCGCCACCACAGCCCGGCTAGTGTGTAAGTTTCATAGTTCATGTCTCCACACTTTTCCACATTTCTCCCACATACTAGTTCCAAACAGTTCTGCCACATGGCCACAGAAATGATTCTATTCCTAGAACCTATTTTCTATAAACTTTCTGGTTACTCTGACAAATACTTAACTAGAACATCTTATGGGTGGAAATATTCACCTTGGTTCAGTTTTGGAAATTTTGGCCCATTTTAGCAAAGAAGATGCGAAAGACACACAGATCACCTTGTGGTGGCCAGGAGGGCGAGAGAGAGAATGATTCCATCTGGGTCTCCAGAATCCGGAACCGCTCCACCCACCTTCAGGGTGGATCCCCTAACTTGAAATGCCTTCATAGACATTGCTTTACCAATGTATGCTCTACTCACTTCCTGGATACCTCTCCATTCAATCAAGTTGATAATCAGGACTAACATATATTGTTAAAACTACATTTGCTTTCATAAATGACCTTATATTTTCCCACTTATCTTTACTAAAGACAATTCACTGGCCAACTCTGTTTTGGCCTAGCAAATATGAATTCTATGAGTTCAGTTTCTTGCAAAAAATTGTTTAATTAAATAGAAAAGAATATTTTATGATTTATTTATTTATTTATTTTTTTGTGTCACAAGCCTTCTAAAAAACTTGATGTGTTTCCTTTCTTTACTGGCACCAGAATGAACTATTCTATAATCAACCTCTGGCATTAGGGAAAATGCATGAATGTAAGCGTCCCTCCTCCCCATCCATATCTGCGCCATCCTGGAGCTTTGGAATCTCAAACTTTACAACAGTCTTCAGTAATTACTTTTAGACTGACAAGGCTCTTCTGCCTCCTGCTGGCTCCTGTGGAGCTCTTGCTCTGGTCTTCTATTCTCAGAAGTCGATTTTGTCTGTGTTTCTTCTCTGTCTCCTCATTTTGGAAAAATACTGATTTGTCCAGAGACCTCAGTTCTCAGATGAATCTAAGAATTGTGAATTTTCATTTTGTTTAGGCTGTTTTTTTGTGTGGATGGAAATAGAGCTTTAGAAATCCTTCGATGCTTGACTAGAACTGGGAAGACCCTCTGTTAATTTTTTGTTGTTGCATTAAATAATATTAAGTAACTTTTCCCACCAGGAGTTATAGTTTGTGAAATACAGTAGCAATTAGAATGACATTTCCCTGATTTCAAGTCTTTATTGTATGTCTAGCCAGATTGATAGAATGTTAGGCTGCATATTTTAGCTTTTATAAATAATGTTCACAGAAGTGAAATCTAATGTTATCACATATATAATTGATAATAAAAACTGCCACACAGTTTCTATTGGTAAGATTGTTACAAGTGAATGGAATGTTCCTTAGTTCAACTCAGAGGAAAACTTATAAAACCTAAAAGTGTAGCTCTCTTTAGTTTTGGGAGCTCTCAGCTCTCAGTGTTGGGAGCGCTCAGCTTTCTCAGTATTGGGAGCATTAATTTGTTTACCTGCTATGAAGGCAAAAGAAGGGAAGCTCCCCTAGCAAAGAATCCACCAGCTGAGTGTAGCTTGTCACTACTAATTATGAAATGAATTATGCTGTGAGACCCTCTTCTTTATTATAGGAAACAACATGCCTTCTGATAAGCAAGCATACTACAGTTAGTCAAGTGCTGACTGCTCCATAGCACTGTACCTCTCTTCCTGCCTTCTAGGAAGTGCAGAGAATGGAATGTTGGTTTTCAGTTGTGTTTAGTTTCCTTACCCCTCCCCCTCTAGTCTTTATCACTGTGCTAGTTGTAGTGGTTTCATCACTTTCTGCGTGTTATTAAAGCTCTTGCTTTCATTTTGAAAGAGGTTTTTAGTTAATAGTAAATTAACTGTACTCCAGCACTGCCTAGTAGGGTTTTAGGCTGTATGCTGTTCCTAATCCATACTTACTCTATAGGCTTCTCCTGACCATGACTTAAATTATTCATTTCTTGGCTTGTCTATAATAAATTATTTGTTTCAGACATACTTTGCCTTGTTGCCCTTTATGCTTTATGGTTCCTCTGAGTTCTGTTTGCTATTTTAGTAGGAACCGATGTCAGACTATTAGAAATTTACTGTACCTAGAAAGATTGGCTGCAAAAGTTTCATAAAGCAAAATTTAAAAATTGATTGTAGCTGCATATACCTGTACTTCTTATTTAAATTAGAATTTTTCATTGGGAAATATTTTTAATATTTCAGAATTATAAAAGTTGTAGAGTTTATGAACCTTCTGTAATGATTATGCAATAGAATATCACATGCCCAACCTATTATCAGAATGTGATAGTTTGAGCTAGACAATAACCAACCTTTGTGTTTTTATTTATGAATTCTGTCTCTGCTTTTAAATCTTACTAACTCATACAAATGCCAAACTTTAAATAGGAAGTTTCTCACAGATGAGCTTGCCCCTCATGTCCTTCATGTTGTTAGTACCTGGTAGTGTTTAGCTCTCTGCCAAGAGAAATCCTTGGTATGCATCCCATTTTAGGGTTTGAACCGATTCCAGAATAGATGAAGGATTCTATTACTCCTTTTGAAGGATAGGCCTATAGATGTTTTTATTTCTGAAGATATTTAAAGCTTATCATCTTTGAATGTATAGTTCTTGTGGATATGGGTTTTCTATTAGAATTTGTGCCTATCTTTTGGTATGTTCTATTTTGTTTCATTTTCTCCAAAATACTTGGTTTGATGACTAAGTTGATCTAATGATCAAGTCTTAGATTGTACTCTTGCCACTACAATTCCTTCCTAGGGGAGCCATAAGCAATGTTCATTCCACCTCCCAAAGTTCCAGTGATAAATTAAGGCAGGGTTCTACCAAACAAAGTTTATTCTGGGGAGCCAGTGAGTCCTTTGGGTTTTTTTATAGACAAAGTGAGTGGTTACTTACAGGGGTGTGGGTATTCCTCCCCAGAAGACTGTACCTGCAAAGATTTTACCTAGCAGACACAGTGTTTTTTTTTATGGCCATACAGATGGAATTCCCTCTCCTAGATTTCCCTGGCCTATATACTTGGCTCTCCCTGAGGCCATGTGCAATTAAGGCAGAGTTGTACATAAGAGAAAGGCCTCATGATCCTCTTCAAACCTCCAGAGGGAGGGTGGGGCAGTCAGCAAGCCCAGCAGGGATAGTCATGTCACAAGCAGGCTCAGTTGACCACTCCAAGCTGGCAGTTCCTGGGCTCAGAGGATAGTCACACACAACTTGATAGTTTGAAAAACCTCTACTTAAAAAGTAGTATTCACTCATTTGTATCTGGAGACATGATTAAGAGTGTTATAACTGCATTGTCTGTGTTCATCTTTCCATTAAAACTGAACCATATAGTGAGACAAAGTGGATATATCACAGTGTGTTCATAATGGAACCATGTTTTCCACCAGAGTAATTAGATTACAACTATAGCTATCTACATGGATGGATTTGGGAGAACATATTGAGCAAAAATAGCAAGACACAGAATATGTATAGTATGATTTAATATAAAACATGTTAAAAAATAAGGCAGACTATATAACATATTAAATAAATATATTATTTCTTTAAACTATAAAGAAAAAAATAAAACAAAACAAACAGGATATGTCCTTGCAGTATAGCTGTTCCTCTGGCCTGGTTGTGGAGGTTAGAGGATGAAGACATAGGGAAGTCAAAGACGATGGCGATATTGCAGAATTTATTTGGGTTGGTGTGTAGAGTGCTTCTGATTTTATCTTTTTCCTCATTTTAACCCAATTTCGCACATTAGTTTAAGGTGTATTCAGTATCTAAAATCTTCTAATAGAAGTAAAATAGAACCAACATTTAACAATACAATTCCCTTCCCCAGTGGAGGACAAGTTCTATCTTTACCTCATTCCTCACATTTAATTGCCATTCATTTTACCTTTGAATCTTGAATCTTGCTTTAGTTTTCATCCATAACCTCCAGCCATTTGGAGAGGACTTAATAAGGCATAGACACTGAAATATGCGATAACTAGATATTCAGAGATCTGAGTATCTGTGTTATACAGAGATAACATGAAGGTTAGTTTCTATTAAAGTTTTTATTTAAAAGAAAAACAAAGCCAGATACAGTGGCATAGACCTTTAATCTCTACTATTGGAAGGCTGAGGAAAGATGATGACCATGAACTTGAGCCCACCCTGGCCTAGGTAGTAAGTTCCATGACAGCTAGGACTACAGAGTGATACTCTAAGACAACCAACCAAGTAAACAAATAAATAAATGACTGACATCAACAACAAAATCCCAGTATTTGTTGTTGTTGTCTTCGTCATATTTGCTTCTTGGTTGCAGACAAATGCTGACACCGTTGGACATCTTGCTGACATCTCGCAGGATTCAAATAAGCATGAGGCCAGAGGGCAAGTGCTTGAGCTAAGAGGAAGAATGGAGATGGTGAGGAAGTCAGAGAAAGCTAGGCAGGGAATAGTAGCAGGGTGTGGTTTTTTTCTTACTGAATGCTGGTTTCAAGTGTCAGCAGAAAGTCCAGCAGAAGTGTCTTCCAGAATGTTACAGATCTGAAATTGGTTTCCAGGACAATGTGAGGGCTGACGCTGTCTTATACAGTGTCACAGAGAGGCAGAGTTAAAGGAGAAAGGATGCGGTGTCTTGAGTGAAAAGTTATAAACAGAAGCTAAGAATTGAAGTGTAATCTTCTTTTCACTAATTAGGGTTAGAGTAAACATCTAGCTAGTGTGAGAAATATTAGGTAAAATTACTATAATCTTAGTATTCTGTCTGCAGAACAAAATGCTTTGGTACCCAACTTTGCCCATTTTATTTTTGAAATGATTGTTCCACTCACAAAACCACTGTTGTTTTTCTAGAGCTGTTTTCTAAATATTACTCAGCAAAAGAATAATTATATCTTACTTTAGCTATATATGTTTTCCTTATTAGATTTTTAGATAAAATTTTGGAATGTTTTCTCTTTCTGTAAACTTAAATACTTGTTTTTGGTGTATGTTTAGTATTTACTATAAAGTTTTTAATGTGTTTTTCATCTTATACTAATAATGGCACATTTCAGGGGAGAGTCCATGGATTTGGTGCTAGACTGAGCACTGTGGTGCTGGGCTTGACTGTGAAAGCTAGTTGGCCCTATCATTGACAACTAAGATGTAAAGCTTATGAAATAAGTTGTTTTTTTTCTTAGACATTCCAGCTTACAATCGGTTTAAATCTTTTCTATAGACCGCATCTGTACTAAAACAAGAAATACATGACCTTATAAAACTGAAGACTCTGGTTGATGAAGAAAATGCTTTCTTGAGGAAAGAATTCAGTGATTTGCAGAAGAAATTTAAAGATAAAAGCCAAGAAGTTAAGGTGTGTTGACTTGTGCATGGCTTCACAGTTACCTTTGCTTTGAAGTCCGCCTTGAAGCTTTGCTAGCCCCTGTGGCACAGAAAGTGACAAGCTTGCCAGAAAATTGCCTTAGGCCTTGCTATACCAGTTTTCTCACATGCAAAAACTCTGATAAAGATGCTTTAAAGCTAAGTCTCGGAGCTTTATAACTTACAGATAAATAGTTAATGATGGAAATGGAGCTAAGAAAGTAGGAGTGTGAATATGTGGCTTCTTGTAATTAGATTCTGATGGGACTGGCATTATTAATTGATAAAACCCAGGTCTGGGAGGATATGTCTGTGTGGGTCTCAAAAATAGCTGGGGACAGCATCAAAGGCAGCTTGATCAATTAATGGGCTCTTTGCAAATGTGTACTCATCAAAGCTGTCATCCAGTGAAAAAATATGACCCATGCACCTGCATGAAAAGAGGGCCGATAAAGTACACAGGTGACCTTGGCCATCAAATATGGACGAAGCTGCAGCAGGGTGAAACTGCACAGTTTACATTTGCTGATTAGTTCTCACCTTTTTTATTTCGTGTTTATCGGCCCTTGTGGTACTGTTCTACAGGACGCCAAGGAGTGCGTGCAGAGTAAAGAAGAGCAAGACAGATTGCTTATAAAAAACCTGGAGGAGGAAAATGAGAGATTATGTACACGCTGCGCTGACCTGCTAAATGACCTGGAGACACTGAAGAACCAGGAAGCATACTGGAGAAATGAAAAACAGAGTGTGGACGCAAGAGTAAAGGTACAGGACGGAACTGAGTCCGTGCTGCTGCTCTGGGTCCGGCTTCTTACAGGAAGCTGAATATATGTTCTTTCCTTAAATAACAAGTTATCTATTCAGATCCACCAGTAGGGACCAGCATTAATTTATATTCTTTCACTTAAGACCCATAGCTTTTTAAATATTGATGTTGCAAAGCAGGAAACTGACTTCAAATAGTTATCCTAAAATGTAATCATTAAAAAATAAAGGCTATTGCTTTTGAAATAAAGTATGTTTTGAAAAATATACTTAGAACCATTGGTTTGGTTTTTTTTTTAAATTAAGGCTTACTTTTAAAAATGGGGCTAGAATTCATTGTAATAAATTTTGGAGACTCTTTTCTACTTCCTTTAAAATCAATGTGTAAAAAACCCCCACAAAACAGTTAAAAATACCTATGGTTCTATGATGATGTTTTCTTTGGATTTAGGGGAAGAGTCAAGTTTTATTAGAAGATAAAACTCTTTTTAATATTTTATACTGTCCTTCCATCCATTTTGAGCATCATTTATCAATGCAACATCTTTCTGTCATATTTTCTTTGTCTGCAAGTTTTTGTTAATTTATTTTCCCATTAAATTTCAAGTTTCTCTTTATCATATATTTTATTGAAAGGGGTAGAAGCAAATAAGGCCAGTGAGAATGAAAGTCTTTAAGTGTGCATGAGGAAGGAACACCTCAGTGCATGTATGCATATGTCCATCATGTATATCTTATATGAGTATTTGTGTGTATGTATATATTTGTACGTTTGTGTAAGTGTGCAGACTTATGCATGAATATTCATCAGCGGAGAGGGATAAACTGGAATGTGAATCTCTCAAGTGCACATATTTGATATAGCTCAATGACTTCGTTAACCAATGAGTCATTGGGGTAGTTGAATCTTGATATGTTTGCTTTATTTTTTATTATTTTCTTGTAAAGTTCAACCTTTGATAACTTGATGGTTCTATAAGGTTAAGTGATGCTGCCTTGTGCTCAATCATAATTACTTGATTATTTAGTTATTGTTTGAAATTTTTGTGTCATTTAAATGATCAGTTCTCTGGTTTGCTCTTGCTTTTTGTTAGACAACATTTTTCATTTTTGTCCCTTGAATATAATTAATTGGACTTTAAAATTGTGTGAATTGATAAGAATCTCAATCTTATTTCCTTCCTTAATGTTATTGGTTTTAAAATACCTCATCATGCTGGGCAGTGGCTGCGCACACCTTTAATCCCAGCACTTGGGAGGCAGAGGCAGGTGGATTTCTGAGTTTGAGGCCAGCCTGGTCTACAGAGTAAGTTCCAGGACAGCCAGGGCTACACAGAGAAAACCTGTCTCCCCAAACAAACAAAAACAAACAAACAAAACAAAAACAAAAACCCTCATCAGACTTAATAATTTGTTTATTTGAGATTCATTTTTTCTTTTAAAATTTGTGTATGGGTTTGTTTATAAACTTATTTTTGTGACTTGAGGCATTGTATTTTTGTAATTTAAATAATAAAGTCTATTTCTTTGTTTTTTGGTAAGTCACGAAATGAAGCTTTTTTATATTCCTTCACTAAGGTATAATACTAACAACAGTTTTGTTAGTAAATCACATTAAGAAACAAATGGTACCATGTTTAATTTAGAATTTAATTTTGAGAGAATTTTTATTCTACCAGGCATAAATGTAGTATTATATAATCTTGTAAATGCTTTTGCTTGGCTCTTATTAATTTGTGCATTCGTCTCAGCCATAAACCCTACCGTAGGCAAGGAAGAGAGACTAATTTTCTCTCATATGTACATAGTTATTTTTATTTTTCTTGGGCCAAGTTATAGTGATATTTTTAGGTTGTATGATAACTGCTTTTAAGCCTTTGAGTCAGTTGCCTCGTTCTGTTCTAAGTAGCTATGTATCAGTTTTTTGGGCTCTTTTTTATTTCTAAATATCTTTGTTTACAATATTGTCTACCTTTTTGACTGTAGCTAACCCCTTGACAGTTGTCAAATGGTATCTCATTGTATGTGCATTTTTGGGCCTTATTTTGTTTTTGTAGTAATGGGGATTGAACCTAGAGCCCTGTGCATGATAAGTAAATGTTCTACCACTGAGCTGTATCCCCAGTTCTCACTCCGATTTTAATCTGCATCGTGATAATGATGTGAGCATGTTTCCATGTGTTACTGGTCATTTGCATATCTTTGTAGAATTGTCTATGCAAATGCACGGGATAGAAGTCCCTGACCAGATATAGAATTTGACACTATTTTCTGGAGGTTTTTGGACTGATTTTTACTGCCTTGATTTTTGGTTTTTTATAGTAAGTATAGTAACAACAACAAAAGTGATCGTGCTATATTGTGACAGTTTGATTCTTTGCTACTGAGATAATATAATTCTGCTTCAGATTCTCCAACAGCTAGGCCTGTCTGTTCACACTGCTATGAGCTAATGCTGTTCCTTTAAACACGAGGAGTTTCTCATTTTCTATGACACTTGTCTACTTTAATTTTCATTATTGCTAAATTTTTTCGATGGTATAAGAAACCAGTTTATAATCAAAGATCATAGGACTGGATCCTATCTGCTGACATTTTCATAGCTTAGTATATTATGTACGTTTATGATTTAATATTTTTTTTGCCCCTTCACGTCAATATCTTATCCACTCCAATTGGCTGGTCCCCTTATTTCCCCAAAATAAATATTTTCTCTGCACACACACACACACACACACACACCACAGTACATATACACCCAAAATAAATATTTTCTCTGTGCACATGCAGGAGTGCACACATACATACCCTAACTCTAGATTCTGCATAAGAGAAAATTAGTCATGTTTTGATAACTTTTTAATGTAGTGTGAGATACAGGTTCAACTTTATTCACTGAAATCTTTCAGTTCCCGATTACTACAAAACAAAACAAAGCAAAACAAAACAAAAGAAGACAAGGCCTACAAAAGAATAATTGATTGCCTTTTACCCACTATACCTCTAAATATCTTGGCATCCTTGTTAAATGCTATTTAATATAAATATGAGTTTATTTCTGGAAATCATTTCTGTTCCTTTGATTATATATCTACTGTCACATCTTTGCCATACTACTTTGATTACTAGAAACTTGTAGCTAATTTGAAATATTGGATGTGTTTTTTTTTCCTCCAAAGTTGGCTATACTCCGTGTCTTCTATTTGCACATGAATTTTAGAATCAGTCTTTCCATTTCTAGAAAAAAGGCCAGGTTTCATTAAAGGGAAGAAGAAAGATGAAACATATATAATGCATATATTTTCAGTTTTCTTGTTTGTCTCCACGACCTCCTCAGTTTTCTTTTAGTGTGTATTTCTCACCAAACCCTGTCCTCCTCTGCTCTTTGATCTGTTTGCACAGTACACATGTCTCTTCCTTTTATTTTCTACTTACATCTTTGGATCCAAAGTGAATCTTGTGTAGATAATTTATATAATATAATATAGTATAACATAACATAATGTTTTATTTATCCACCCTTTTCATGTGTTTGTTTTGAGTGGAGAGTTTAATTCAATTATTTTAAGAGTAGAGTGACAAGAAAAATTAACTTTTGCGATTTTTTTATAATTTTTTATGAATGTCTTTGGGTCTGTACCTCATTACCTCTATTGTGAATGTATGGTAATCTGTCTGTCCCTCATTACTTCTTTGTATTTAGTTGTTTTTTTTTTATAGTGTAGTGTACATTTTGTTTCATTTGTGTGTGTGTGCGTGTGTGTGTATATATATGCCTATTAATATTTTCTTTTTGGTTGTTATAAAAATTGCATTTATCAGACTAACCTATGCCAATTTAATTTGAATTAGAAACATCAGTTGTCAATGTCTTATGAAAACTCTGCTTTCATGTAGAAATTATTTAATGTAGAATAATTTCAAAGTTCTGGAATTATAAAATGAGTATAATGACTTGTTTTGTTCCTCATTTTAACGAAAATTCTTTGAGTGTTTTTTCATTTAACATAATATTGGCTGTTGGTTTGTCATATACAGTGTTGATTTGTTGAAATATGTTTCTATTCAACGTTTCTTTAGGTCTTTATCATGAGTGGGTGTTGGATGAATGATTATATGATTTTGTCTTGTGTTAATTTATGTAATTAATAGCCTTTACTGATTTATATATTTTGAACCATCGCTGCCTCTCTACAGTAAACCCAACCTGATCAGGGTAAATGATCTTTTTTGACGTGTTCTGAATTTGGTTTGAAAGTATTTTATTGATAATTTTTATTTCTAAGCTCTTTGGGGATATTGGTCTGTAATTTTTTCATTATTTTCATCTGCTCTTGGTATGAGAATAAGGACTAGCTTTGTAGAAAGGGTCTGTTGGTATTTCCATTTCTCTTATTTTATGAAATATTTTTGAGAAATATTGGTATTGTTTTTCTTTGAAGTTCTGATAAAATTTACTAGAGAATCTTTGTGGGCCTGGACTTTTTTTCTTTTTAGTTGAAAGATTGTTAATTACCATTTTGTATAGATCTGATTAAATTGTCTCATCTCAGTTTAAGTTGTTAAGTCACACACATCTAGAAATCTGTCTAGTATTTTTAGTTTTCAATGTAATGAAACATTTTAAAGAAAGTTTTCATTTTCCTTATGAAAGATAGTGTTCTTAGGTATCTCTGAGCTAATGGTTTCTTTTAGGACTTGACATATGTCTCTCCAGATCTTTCTGTCTTGTAAAGTTTTATTCCAATAACCTGCTGTTATTTTGATGAGCTTAACTTTACATGAACTTTTACTTTTTTGTCTTTCTGTTTTTAATATGATTTACATATTTTATTTAATGTTTTAATTATACATGCTTTTTTAATTATACAGTTCTTTTTCTGATATTGTGTCTGTAATATCGAATATCCCCTGTATATACATTGCCATCTCCTTTCCTAAATGGGATATTTTCTGTTAGAATTATTTTAAAAGATATTTTCTGTGGCTGTAGAATGAGA